AATAATAAAACTAAAAATAAAGTAAAATAAAAATAAAAATTAAATAAAATAAAAAGAGATTTAAAAGTCATAAATATCATAACATATAATTTTTCAACTCTTGGTTTGTGAATTATGTCTCCTCAATTAGTGTCTAAAAAAATGCATAGTTATATTAGTGATGCACAAAAAAAAAATCTATTATATAGGCATCAAGAAATAGCACAAGAGTTTACAAAACTCTATTCAGATTTGAAAATTGAGCACTCAACTATAACAAAAATCCTAATGCAAGCTGATAAGTATAATAAACTTAAAAACAATGAACAAACTAAAAAGACCTTTTGTTATCATTCAGTAAAACATCCTAAATTAGAACTCACAATGAACATATAGGTAGAGCAAGTTACAATCAATGAGATAATTATATCTATCTTATTAATAAAAGAGAAAGATTATCAGTTTGCAAAAAAATTTGGTATATCTGAAGAATCTTTTACATTTTCGAATAATTGGGTTACAAAGTTTAAAAAAAGAAATGGATTGAAAAAAATTATAATGCATAGCAAGGTAGCAAGTACCTCCTTAAAAAATTTACCTATAGAACATATCTAATTACAAGAACTTTTCTCTCAATATAATCCAGATGATATATATAATACTAATGAGACAGGCCTATTTTATTGATTACTTCTAAATCAAATGCTTGCTAAAAAAGTGATAGCTGGAAAAAAAAAGGTTTAGTAGAAAAATAAAAAATAAAAAATAAAATAAATAAAAAAAAAATAAAAAAAATAATTTTAATGTTTGCTGAAGATAAAATTTATTGGACATATTGTTTTTCAAAAATGACTTTGACATTTAGTATTTTATATACTAAATAAAATGTTCAGTATTCTAAAAAAACTGTGAATTTCACCTCTAGTGAATACTAAATAAATCAAAAATAAAAATAAATTAATAAATTTTTTTAAAAATTATCAGAATAAATCGAGAATAACTATATTATTTTGTGCCAATTCAACTGGCTCTCACAAGTTTCACTCATTGGTTATCAGTTTCTCTAAAAAGCCATGATCTTTTAATGAAGTAAATCGATCACAATTACCAGTCAACTATAGAAATAATAAAAAAGCAAGGATAAGAAGTAATATTTGGAAGAGTTGGTTGAAATTTATCAATGCTAGTTTTCATATTCAAGATAGAAAGGTTTTACTTCTGGTTAATAATGCATCTTCTCATATGTTATCGAAAGAAAATTATACAAATGACACTGAAGAATCTGAAAAACCCAAAAAGCTTGAAGAACTCAAAGAGCTTAAAGAACCTGAAGAGCCTGAAGAATTCAAAGAATCTGAACCTGAAGAACCTGAAGAATTGAAAGAGCCTAAGGAACAGTTGCAAGAAAAATCACAAGGAAGATCCTAAGGAAGGCCCAAAGGAAGGTTGCAAGAAAGGTCCCAAAGAAGGCCCTGAGAAAAGTCACAAGAAAGGTCCTAAGAAAGGTCTTATAAAAAATCTCAAAAAAAGAAAAAAAAGATCCCAGATCTTATGAACATCACTGTGCATTTTCTTCTACATAACATGACTGCACATCTCTAACTGATAGATGCTGATGTAATAAAATGCTTCAAATTGAAATATAAAAATCTCTATTGCCATCATCTGCTTTCGCAATTTGAAAAAAATAAAGAACAAGGGTAAAACTTTCATTTAGTATTGTCAGAAATAATGCAGAACTCAAATGATGCTAAATTTTGAGGCATCTGTTTAAAAATATTAGAACTTCAATTCTTAATCTAACTATCCAAATTGATCTTTAAACCCAGATAGATTCAAATATCCAGATCAGAGATTTCTACTCAGATTAGCCAAAAAACTTGAATAATGAATCTAATGATATACTATAAAGCCAGCTTTATCTGTAATCTAATGTGAATTCAATTCAGATTGCCTATTAAAGATAGGATCGAAGCTCTAAAAAATATAAATTATACTAAAATCCTTTAAATTCTAACCCTAAGGCCTAACCTAATTATAAAAAAAAAATAAAAAATTTAAATTTTCATATTAAAATAAGCTTAAATTTTTAGCATTATCTGATTTTAGAATCTTCCCCTACATTAATTGTTTATTATACTAATTGATTAATTTATAAATATAGAAAACTTAAGAAAATAGGAGAACTTTCCCTAACGATCACTTGTACCAAATTTCATACCAACAAAAACGGAAAACTTATTGGAGAAAGTAGAAGAGGCTACTATACAAATAATGGTTTTTATAAAGGTCAAAG